GTCAAAAGTGTAAAGATAGGTGGAGGGGACATAAATAAGCATATTTCGGATAGGAATGTGTGTGCGGTAATGGGACATTAAAGCACGAGCTTGTAAAGCAGTATGAATCAGAGGAAACTGAAAAGACAAGTAAAGACAAAAGAAAATAAAAATTTATCAACAGTTTACAAGAGGTGCTCGAAAGAGCAGCCACCAACATCGATACAAGATTCAGAGCAACGGCGCATGGATCGGCGTACATTAGAAAAGACGTTAGGCATGTCGAGCACATGCAAAGCAGCAACAGACAAGCGGGCAACAAGATCTTCTTGATGGGACTCTCGTACACCAGGCTTTTAATATGACCCCAAAAGAAAAAATCCAAGCAGGTTAAATCAGGAGAACGCGGTGGCCAGGCAACTGGACCACCCTGTCCTATCCAATGCTAGCCGTAGACAGCGTCCAGGGGATTTCTGACGCTCCCTGAACATCCTCTGAGCAGCTAATTCGTTTCCTTGTGCAGCCCCATACATGAAATGCACGTCGGCAAGCTCCACATTGGTGAAACGATGCATGCTGTTTGAGATCCTTGCGGGAATCCAGCTAGCAAGCGCTTTTATGCGCCGCAGTCATCAGCGCTCCCTACCGGCTCAAGGCGGCATTACCGCACACACAATCCTATACGAAATATGCTTATTTAAGTCCCCTCTACCTACCTTCACATTTTTGACAAATATTTTAGGACCACCCTGTATAGCAATGTCAAACGTGTTAGTACAAAACAGCACTTTTTCTATAAAAATCCAACAGACCAACCACCTTTATTTTAAAGTACTCCATATTCATTGTAGAAACAATGAAGGCCACCTTTGTGGCAAACTTGTATAAGGGTATACGAAATCATTCTAAAAGCCTCTGAATCGCTCATGCAATCGTGCGTAACAGCGATACGCACATGCACGAACATAATTTTTTGTTTTCGTTTTTAAGCGTTCGCATGCATGAACTGCATGCGGTTCGCGGTGCTCGTGTATCTATTTTTGTTACTGTGTTTTCGCATTATCCTTTGTTTTAAACGTCAATGAAACTTGTCTTATTTTATTCTATAATTTATTAATGTAGCAGTGATAAATTTTACACCACACCCTTTCAGACTAAATAAATTCGACCGACGTCAAGGGCTAAAAGAAAAGCTCGAACTGTTTAATAATTGTATATTGGTACGTGAAAATCCGATAACTAAATAAAAAGTTTTCAAGGATTCAGATTTTTTTCACGCAATGTACTTTACAGTTCTCATACGCACTGACTACTGTTCACTTTGAAGTTTATTTTAATCATTTTTCTTGAAATATTCAGTTAATACTCAACATATTATTTGTGACCTTTAAACATATTTAAAGTTTTTTTATATTAGTATATTGATACGGTGATTTTATTCGTGTAATTAAGTAAAATTATAAAATTTTTCATATTCTTGAACTATGTGTCTGCATTACTATGTATCTGCATCTAAATATTATATCAGCATCAAGCCTTCACACTTACCCAAAGCATTACCATACAATTTACTCGCACAATAGCACTTTAATTAAACGAAACAAAATCTCTCTATTTATACAGGACTCAGCAAACCTTTTTCTTCCATTTAACAATATCTTCCTCAATCAATTAACAACCATTAATCAATGAAATGCGGGGAAAGAAATTTACCCTATAGAAACAGTCCCGTCCTCTACTGTGACCTCAGTTAAATATAAAAGCCCTCTCTCTCTCCGTGTGATTAAAGACGTAAAAGTAGGACTATCCATCATGAAAAGCTAAGATGGCTAACATGAACGCCCTGTGACAGTGGTGGTTGGTTTAGTAACTTGAGACCTTCCTTCTTGGCTACTTTTAGTGAAGTAGTTAGGTGAGACAGATAAATGGTGTGATCACAAAAGACTAGTAATTATGGTCACGGTTAGGAGGGCCTTTCCCTTTTTGTTGAAACTTCTAGTAACATTGGAATATTCTTCTGCGGATGCTTAATCGTTTGGGGAGGTTGAAGTTTCCCAAGTGTAAGTTTGTAAAGTAATAGTTTTAAACATTTTCTTGCTTTAAAAAGTTGAATTCTGTCATTTTATTACATATTTTTGTTCTCTACATCATTAAAAAGCACTGCTTTGTTTAATTTCATTAATTTAAAAAAAAATTAAACACTTATATAAGGCTTCCACGGGTTTAGGAAATTTATAAATAGTAGTAAATTTAGGTTGTTTTCTTCGTCATTAAAAAGCACTGTTTTGTTCAATTTCATTAATTTAGAAAAAATTAAATACTTTTACAAGGCTTCCACGGTTTAAGACATTTATTAATAGTAGTAAATTTAGGTTGTTTTCTTCGTCATTAAAAAGCACTTCTGTTCAATTTCATTAATTTAAAAAAAGAATTAAATACTTTTACAAGGCTTCCACGAGTTTAAGAAATTTATTAATAGTAGTAAATTTAGGTTGTTTTCTTCGTCATTAAAAAGCACTTCTGTTCAATTTCATTAATTTAAAAAAAATGAAATACTTTTACAAGGCTTCCACGGGTTTAAGAAATTTATAAATAGTAGTAAATTTAGGTTGTTTTCTTCGTCATTAAAAAGCACTGTTTTGTTCAATTTCATTAATTTAGAAAAAATTAAATACTTTTACATGGCTTCCGCGGTTTAGGAAATTTATTAATAGTAGTAAATTTAGGTTGTTTTCTTCGTCATTAAAAAGCATTTCTGTTCAATTTCATTAATTTAAAAAAAAATTAAATACTTTTACAAGGCTTCCACGGTTTAAGAAATTTATTAATAGTAGTAAATTTAGGTTGTTTTCTTCGTCATTAAAAAGCACTATTTGTTCAATTTCATTAATTTAAAAAAAATTAAATACTTTTACAAGACTCCCATGTGTGTAAGAACTTTATTAATAATAATAATAAATTTAGGTTGCTTTCTTCGTCATTAAAAACTACTTCGTCTTTTCATTAATTTGAAAAATATTTGAATACTTCTACAAGGCTCCCATGATTCTAAGAAATTTATTAATAGATATAGCAAATTTAGGATAATATTTCTAGTAGAAATGTCCCTTTTTAAAATGCCATTTTAACGCTTAGAATTCAAACAGCTTAAAAGTCTCATAAGGTTAAGCGTAGAAGGGACAACATATTAAAAAAACACTGCCACTTGTTACATTTTCGTCATAACTTTTTAAAACAATTATTGCTTTTTTTATAGCAATTTAGGGTTTGAGGACGAATAATTCAACTTATTTTCTATCAACAGTTCATTAGATTAAAATGCATAAAAGTATTTCAGTTTATTTTTTGTTAAAAATATAAATCATCTAAGTGGCATTTTTATTATCAGCTCATCTAGGTTAGCCATCAACTATAAAGTTAAATTTTCATCTGTCAAGCATAAATTAACTTTTCAAAAACATTTCGCATTGAACAAATTCTAATATATATTCAAAAAATAATTTATGTCCCTTTATATGATGAAGAATGAGTCTAAAAAGCTTTCTATTACAATAATGCTGTGTATCCCAATTTAAAATGAAGTAACAATTTACTTGTTTTAGTAACTAACATATACAGTTAATAATTTATTATGCTTCAGAATATGCATTATTATACTAGATACAGAAAATTACATCTAATTATAAGCTTTTTCTTCCATACTATTATAAGTTATTCATGTATTGTTGGATGCTTTGTACTATATCGTTTAAAATTGCTGTAATCTTACCATAGTTTTAGGCTGAACAATAGAATCACATTGATTAATATTTATTACATAATAATATGACTCAACTTGCGCAAAAATATAGTTCAATTTAACATCTTAATATTGCTACACTAAATTAATGGCATATTATAGTTTAAAAAAATTATATTGTAGTTCAAATAGAAATATAAAAGCCACGATAACTTTTAGGTTAAAGATACTAATATGCCATTTTAAAGGACTTTGATCCTCAATGCCACAATCATGCCGCTGGTCCCCAAATTATGGAGCCTTAACCTCCATGACCCCTGGCCTTCAACGAACTGTTGCGGGAATACTTTACTAGAAGCGAAAATTACTCCCTAACTAAAATAAATTGTTTTTGTGGTTCTTTTAAGGTTTACCGGTGTGAAAAAAATACACCTGAGATAGAAAATGAGGTTTTTGCTTTACCCCGAAAATAACCTCATCAGTAAACGCCAACTTCAACCTAATTTACACATCATAAAATCAACCTTATATATAGCTCAGCAATACTTTAAGTTGAAATCGGGTGAAATTATTCACACCACAAATATACTTATTTGCTTGAAGTGTTGAAAAAATAATCTGTACACCTCAAAAACAACCTCAAGAGTGAATAAAACAATTTAATACACCTTGATTATAAACCAAAGGAGGTTGATTCTGAAGTTAACTTCAAATAAACCTCAAATCAACCGTAACTCCTCAATACACCTTAAATGTTTGTAGGGGAATATTTTTTTCAATGCCCATCTGCATTAACATTTAGCCAATTTAGGCACCTACAGAGCAGATTTTTTGGCCACTCCTTCAGGGGCACCATATTAGGTGGGCCAACGTTGCTCCCACAATAAGAACAGATAGTACAGAGAATAAAAGAACATCTATGCCTTGCCTGAGATTCAAACCCATAACCTTTCTGGTCCAAGGCCAGTTCCCTGGCCCCTATACAGTCCGGTTGGCTTGTAAGGGAGTAAATAGTGAATCAAATATCAATGATGAATATTAGTGACATCATGATTCAAAATTGAAGCGATTTTTCTGAGAATTTATAACACTTATATATGGAATTAAACACTTTTAATCCCTTATACAAATTTTCTCTCCCACTTCACTCATACAAATTTTCTTTTTTAGAATACTTTTCATGGCTCATTTTTTTCACTCATCCTTCTTAACTATCACTTATCTTTCATCCTTTTAAAATAAATCCCATATATTGACATGGCTAACACTATTTTTTTTCCAGGTGAGAACGCCTATGTTCATATGACATGTCATCTCCCACCCCAACGACACCTCTAGACGAATATCCCACTAACCTGTCCCTGCTCGACATCAGCCTCATCGTCATCCTCACCATCATCATCCTCATCACCATCCTCGGCAACACCCTGATCATCACAGCAGTCGCCACCACTCGCAGACTTCGCACTGTCACCAACTACTTCGTCGTCAGTCTGGCAGCATCCGACCTGCTCGTTGGCTTACTAGTCATGCCTTTTGCTGTGGTCAAGGAAGTGACCGATGGTTTGTGGCTCTTTGGACAAGTCGCGTGTGAGTTGTGGGTGTCGCTGGATGTAATGCTGTGCACAGCTTCTATTTTGAACCTTTGCTGTATAAGTCTAGATAGGTACGTTGCTTTTAATTCAAAAATATTGTTATTTTCAAACTTTGCGAAGACTACTATAAACATTTACCCGATATAAATGTTCAACTTCTATGTTCTTTAACGATATCCAATCAATAAATGAATCTTTTTATTAAGATTAATTAGGTATTAAAATAATAATTAAAGAGAGATGAAGCGTGAAATATTTAATTAGTTAAGAAAAACTAAATTGTAAATAAGATACTAATTAATTTTGTCTTATATCACACTAAAAGCATTACTTTAAGAACAACAACGTAATAAAGGATATGCATATAATAAAAATATAACTATTTTTATTAATTTGCTTAGCTTTGCATAAATTTATTTCCAATATTTTTTTTATTGTCTGGAATATCTTCCTTAAACAATAACATCATTCAAAGCTATTAAAAGGCACAGTGTGTACAGGACATATTTGATAGCATTTAAAAGATATAAAAGGAGAATCAGAGATTTAAAACACGCTACCAAAACTTTTGAATGTGTGTTTTTCATTAAACCAAATACAGTGAAACCTCTCGAGAACGACCACTTTCTGTTCCACAGTAAAATGGTCGTTAATGGAGGTTGGTCGTTCTAAGGGGTTATCTCCATTGACTTATGTTACCGAAGGTGCATGGTTTTTGCAAACTATTTTAATTTTAGTGCCAGTTTCTAGAAGTGGAAATGCCACTTGTAATGACAACGTGAAAACTGGATGGGTGAATAAAATTTAGCTTTAATAAAAATGACCCCTACTGATATAATTCTGAGTAGAAATTGAATTTACCAATTATGATAGAACTATTTTAAAAAAATAAACAATTTTGTTTTTTGTTTAAGTTTGCATTTAATTTTATATCCTAAATATTACTTAGCTTTAAAAGATGAGACGAGGTTTAACTATTTGCGATGCTTCGCTTTTCGCTAAAATAACTTTTTTTCCAATTTAATTTTGCACTCTAAAAATAAATCATTGATAGCATCGTCTTAAATGTCACATGAGGTTGTAGATCTCTATCAGAGATCGTCAAAATGTGCTCTCTAAATAAGAGAGTCTCACGCAAATATTTTGAATACATTTTAATCTACATATTTGTTTCGTCACTATTTTTTTGCTTTTTTTTTCCTATTTGACCATCTCCGCATTTGGTGCAGAAATTTGCCCGGTCGCTGGGAAAGGTTTTGATGGTCCCTCCTAAAGGTTTTCTTCAGCATAAAGTCTGCGGAAAAAATTCCGTGCCTTCGTAAGCAGAGGCTGTCGCTAAATAAAGGTGGTCTTTTCTTCGGGTTTCACTGTATTTCGTAAGAACAATTCTGTAGGTTATTTTAATTCTTCTTTTGCATCAATTCTGTAGGTTATTTTAATTCTTCTTTTGCATCAATTCTGTAGCTTATTTTAATTCTTCTTTTGCATCAATTCTATAGGTTATTTTAATTCGTCTTTTGCATCAATTCTGTAGCTTATTTTAATTATTCTTTTGCATCATGAGCGAAGTAGGATTTTTTAAGGACCATTTTCGGGAATTTTATGAATGCATAAATGTACATATTTTTAATTAATGCCATGGGGGTCACCGGTGACCGGTCCTGAGTTTGTTCGCAGCGCCACGTGGGTCACCGGCGATTATTAGAAACACATAATTCGAGTAAATTTTTAATGCTTTTAATTTCTTTATATTATTATCGTTACTAAAATGGTTTGAAGAAATTAATGCAATACATACTGAGAAAATCATTTTGACCAGACGGGCAAGTCATGCAAAATTACCGTGGCATTCAACGTGTTAAAAGATAGTCGGACATTCTTATCTCATGTAAAAGTATACTTCGTAGAAAAGTAGACAGTTTTCCAGAGAAATTACGGAATATATTTTCAAAATTTTCTTTATTTTGTTACTCTTCCTACAATCCTTATTTTAACATGGGGTCATGAAATTTTCAATCAATGATGTTATTTTCATTAATATTCTTGATTTATAATTATGTTGTGTCTACATAAAGTTTAATATATAAATAAACAATATAATATAAAGTTTAATATTGTTATTGTTTTTGGCATAAAGTTTAAGTAAAAGTCACAACTTACAAATTTTAAAATGAAGCCTATTTAAAATTATGCTAAATTTGTTTGAAAGAATAAAAGATTCAAACAAAACTAATTTATTTTATAGTTTCACAGCTAATTTACTAAAAATTCACCTTTTTAACGACAACACTTAAAACTCCTCTAAAAGGAGGCGTCATTTTTGTTTTAATTTTTAAAATTATTACGCTTATATATGATTAAATACAGTTCAACTGATTTAAAGAGAAAAGTTATAATATAATTATCTACAATGAGATCATTATTTCTATAATTACTAATTATAATTTTTTTCCTTAAATTAATATGACATGATTGACCGACAAAACATGTCTTCTTATTAATAAAGGTCTATCATTTCCATATTAAAAATAATTTTAAACATAATTAAAAATTAAATATCTACCTTACTTAAGAACTCTTTCCATCAGGTCTGATCTCTTAACTTTTCATAAACCATCAAATGAATGGCTTTAAAAGTTTATTATTAGCAAAATTAAAGCAATTCTATTTTTTTTTATACTTTGAGAAAAAAGCGCATATAATGGGCTCCAATCTTGAAAATTATCATCGAATAATTTTTCTCAGATGGCACTCATATGAAAACATGGGAGATGGGAGGACTTATGGCAGCAATAAAAATGAATGCCCCGGATTGTGGGAATGAAAATTACCTGCACAATTCTTTTTGGTAGTGTTGATCCTCACTCGTTTTTACGACCATTTTTTAAAACCTACTCCAGTCGGCAAAAAAAGAAATTTTAAGGTCTTGATGACATCAGGACAACGTAAAAATGACTTCTTTTACGACCTCCGGTTTTTTTCTTTTTTTTTTCTCTTTTTTTTCTTGTATAGTACTTCTAAGTTAAATGAAAGAGAAGGGTGATGACATAACTTTTATTTTCTTACAGGTTTAATATAAATGATTAAAATTTATCTTGGTCAATGGAATTCTCTTTTTCATCGATTTTGTCGTTTTTAATTAAAGGATGCATATACGATCTGAGCCAACTTGTTGCGGGTTTTTCAATTATGAGTTCATTAAAAAACAAAACTGCAGTTTTGCAACTGATGAACTTTAAAAGAAGATTCTAAGTTATCAATGGAAGATCATATTTCAATCTCATTAACTACACAACACTGATTTATGCTTCCACAGTATGACTTAAAATTTTTCATCCATTGAAGATAGCAAGTGACAATCTTACATAGTTTTCGTTGTAGTTAAAAGTTCCACAGGCATTTGGCGACAAACCTTAAAAATCAAGCTACAGCGCCAAAAGTGCGAACGCTATGATAAGATCAGTTTCTATTGATGTAAAGGATTTATACATTTTCAATATAGGAAGCTTATAGGTTAGAAATAAAGGCAAAGCATGGTCGTTATTCCCTGTTAATAACGTATAAACTTTGAAGTTAATTTATTCAAGTTTTAAAATCTCTCAATTCGAAACTAAAATCTGTCAGCATTTTACTTTTTTTCAAAGCTTTAAGTGTACTATATTGTATTATTGTTAAATATGCGGGGTGATTTTCACGGTAGAGCAAAAATGGTTGCTGTATCATCCGGACATAGGCAAACACGATTCTAAAAATGAATTAAAGAAAAATTAATAAAGAAAAAGGGGGGCAAACTCGGAATGTTAAATGCCACCTTCTGGCAGGAAAATATATCGTTTTGTTATAAGTGACACATTCTGTAAGTGATATTTTTATTGGATGGGTTCTTCGCGTGCCTCTGCTGTGTGCCTCTTGGTGGTTGTGTTCCTTATTCAGTTCTTTAGCTGTTGACATGATTTCAAATGCGACATAGCAGATCCCGTCATGAAAACATGCCATTTCATAATTTCTTCCTTTGAACTCTTTTTTTTTTAGTTTTCTCAAGCAATGAACTCTTTCATTAATTCGATTTTTATTACTTAAAAGGAATATTTTCAAAAACCGTGGTGGGATTCTTTCTCTTCCCGGTATTAGCCGGTTTACTATTGGTTAATTCAAACCAGTTGAGAGAGATAGTCGAACTTGTATTGACATTTAAGTTCCATAAAAAAGGCAAAGGTATCGTATTCTATAGTATCAATCGTCAATATATCATTACAAACTATAAACTTCGACATTTATCTATATATTGGCAAAAATATAGTTATTATTCAATTTGTTAAACTGTCTGAACTAATAATTGCGGTAGTGTTAAAAAAAAACTAGTACTAGGCGAGCCACTTGTCGCTGTCAGACCACCAAATATAAACCACTGATATATTCTGGTTTTTACAACGGTACTTATCCATTCTTATTTTTATAAACTGCCTGAACTAATAATTTCAGTAGTGTTACAAAACTAGTACTAGGCGAGCCACTTGTCGCTGTCAGATCACCAAATATAAACCGCTGATCTATTCTGGTTTTTACAACGGTACTTATCTATTCTTATTTTTATAAACTGTCTGAACTAATAATTGCAGTAGTGTTAAAAAACTAGTAGGCGAGCAGCTTGTCGCTGTCAGACCACCAAATATATACCACTGATCTGCTCTGGTTTTTACAACGGTACTTATCTATTCTTACTTTTATTCTTGCATTTGTATGTCAGTAAAAAAAAAACCAACTACATTTCAAAATAGGCAGTACTTGCTGAAGATATTTATAAACAATGAATGAGACGAAAACTTTTTTGCTTGTTTACTTCTCATATTTTATTATCTGAGTAATCGAAGTTCCTAAAAAAGCAATTAAAAATAACGCTCTAAAATAAACCTTTTTTTTTCAAAGAAAAAAAAACTGGTGTTCTGTGAAGACCACCCTTAATTTTTAAAATGTAGCCACAGATTTTTACACGTTAGGGGCCTCAAATTACTATAAAAGAGAGCAAAAAAAAAATCCGACGAAATCCAACCAAGATCTGAGAAAGGCAAGA